TACTAAAGTTTACAAATTTATTGGACAAAAAAAAAGGTTATCAATGGGCGTTGATACTTAAGGAGTACCGTTTCGTAAATTGCCTCACTCACACAGCATCTGTTGGTTTACAATTGTCTCATTACTTGTGACCTTGCTTTGCCTTCTACACTGGAATATTCAATGGAACATATTGACATCATCAAAAAAAAAAAAAAAATACAACTACACATTTGGACAGGAAAAACATCTGGATGGGATGTATAATCAGCACCGAGGGATTTCTTCATATATCCCAGTATTTTAAAGACTGACCAGGGGTTAAGGTCTAAATCACAGTCAACTGAATTTTCACATAGAAACATAGAATGTGACGGCAGATAAGAACCATTCGGCCCATCTAGTCTGCCCAATTTTCTAAATACTTTCATTAGTCCCTGGCCTTATCTTATAGCTAGGATAGCCTTATGCCTATCCCACGCATGCTTAAACCCCTTTACTGTGTTAACCTCTACCACTTCAGCTGGAAGGCTATTCCATGAACCTTTGTCCCACTAATTAACTGATCAACTACAAGGAATAGTTTTGTTGTCTTAGTTACTCTTGTCTCAGACTATTGAGGCTTAAAGGACCACTATAGTGCCAGGAAAACATACTCGTTTTCCTGGCACTATAGTGCCCTGAGGGTGCCCCCACCCTCAGGGTCCCACTCGCGCCCGGCTCTGGAAGGGGTTAAAACTTACCTTTTTCCAGCGCTTGGCGGGGAGCTCTCCTCCTCCGATCCTCCTCTTCTCCTCCCCGTCGGCTGAATGCGCGCGCATTCAGCCGGTCACATAGGAAAGCATTATCAATGCTTTCCTATGGACGCTTGCGTGCTCTCACTGTGATTTTTACAGTGAGAAGCACGCAAGTGCCTCTAGCGGCTGTCAATGAGACAGCCGCTAGAGGAAATAGGGGAAGGCTTAACCCATTCATAAACATAGCAGTTTCTCTGAAACTGCTATGTTTATGAAAAAATGGGTTAACCCTAGCTGGACCAGGCACCCAGACCACTTCATTAAGCTGAAGTGGTCTGGGTGCCTAAAGTGGTCCTTTAAGAACATCTCACTTATATAGAATATGCATACTCAACAGGAAAGCTGTGTCCCTAGACGCTCTGCACCCCTCTCTTTCGCACCTCCACCCCCAAGGCAAATGATTAAAAACTTTAGATACCTTATTCGAATGCCTAGCTCCCATCAGCACATGCCTAAAGTGCATGGTTTAGGCCTTCTATATAGGAAAGCATTACTTTAATGTTTACAATGGGATATTTGACTAGAGGCAGTCTTAATCCAGCAACATACAAATTGCAATGTTTTAGCTTGCAGAGTTAAGTGGACAGGGACAGTGCACCCAGACTATTTCAAAAAGATGAAGTGGTCTGGATGCCAATAGTGTCCTTCATATAATAATAATAATAATAATAATAATAATAATAATAATAATAATAATTTACAAAAAGGTAAGTAGGTAATTGGGTGCAGATGGAGTAGGGTCATAGTAGAGACTGTTGTCAATACAAAAGCCCCAAAGAGGGTCATGCTAGTCTGCACTCTTGTCTGTAGGTTGAAACAATGGGAAATTCCTCAAATTTGGTTAGCTGGTTTAAAGGAACACTGCAAGCACCATAACCACTTCTACCCACTGTAGTGCTTAATAGGACTTGAGTGCCATTTAAACTGTTAAACAGTTTTAGAATGACTTGACACTGACCTGGGTCTTTTCACGTGCCAGTACTGCATCCGGTTTTCTCAGAGCAGGAGAAGCAAGGTGAAGATGTAGGAACTCGTCCATTGGCTAAGTGTCAGCAGAACACTCTCAACCAATGAATAAAGAGAATCCCTAGCCCTTTTAAAGAATCAGCGCAAGCAGACAGAACAAGAACTCAATAAAACAACTGCCCAGCCATATAAGACAACTTTTGATGGCTACAAAAAGATGTACCAACCTTGAATAAAATAACTAATAAATAGAAAAGTAAAAAAGAAAGCCAATATAATTTAATGTAACACGCTCAGACACCCACCTGTTTATCTTGGCTTTAGGACAATGTTTTAAGAAACTGATCACTGTGTTTTTGGTTTTTGTTTTCCTTCTATATATATAGGTTCAAAGGTATGTTTTTTTTTCCTGTACAAACTCTGGACACTTTTTTAAAATGAATTCAAATATGTACTTCTCTTTATAGAAAATAAATCCAATCAAATCATATTGCCCTAAGGCAGTAGGCATTCATACTCTCTTTTAGTGTTTGTCTCCCAACATTTCAAAGAGATCTTAGATGGACACTTTCAATTTAGGGAGCCTTCAGATAGACTAAAGTTGTGGCCATGGACAATTCTACCTCAAAAGATCTGGAGAAAAGGAGAATTTGTGACCAACTGAAAATGTAATTCTGAATAAGACTATGTTCTATACAAATTTATTTATTTCATAATTTATATACTTCAAATAGACTTCTTGTTGCACAAAAATAGTCACAGGTTACTCACTGTATAGTAGATACGTTCGTAAGCACAGCTTAGCATATGGGATTTACCCCAATATTGACCCCCATAGAGTTAAGGAGGTAATGGGGGTGGAAGGTGGGGGTAGTAAGTGGCAGATAGCTCTCTCCTAATATTAAACAAAATGAATGAACAAAGACCAAACTGAAATTAATTCTTCATTCTTTGTAATTGCTATTCATTCATTTTCATCTGCCCACACTAAAATGGTGGTGCCTAGCACCAAGATCCGGGCATGGAATTTAAAGAGTAAAAAAGAGAAGGGGAAAAAAAAAGGATGTGGCCATGACATTACCACGTTAATAGCCCACTAGATTCCGCAGGAGCTTCCTCCGTGTGATTAAAGTTCAATTTACAGAGAAAAAGAAAAAAAATTCTACAGCAAGTTAATATCCAAATCAAAAATGTAACTTTTTTCATGCACAGTCACAACCAATCCTATGGGGAAGCATTGTGATTGAATCAGGCTACCACTTCTGATGTCAGCAGACTGCTTGTTTTTTCTGTGGCAAGCAGCATGCAGATCTACAGCTTCAGGCTTGAATACAGTAAGAGTTTGCTATATTTATGGAGGCATGAGGGGCCCAGAGGGGCTAGATGGTGGTTTTAACACTATAGGGTCAGGAATACACGTTTGTGTTCCTGACCCTATAGTGATCCTTTAAGTCTTAAAAGCAGAGAATTGAGAGCAGTGAGACTGCTGGGGTATGATCTATACCAGTGATGGCGAACCTTTTTGAGCCCGAGTGCCCAAACCGCAATACATGCCAACTTTTTTTTTCTTTAAAGTGACAACATGGCAATTAAACCTCAATACTGAGGTTTAAGTTTAGAAAAAACAACTCGTACTGTTGTCCGAACTAATTAACAACTTTTGTTTTAAAAGAACACAACAACAGAGAGTTCAATGATAAAAATTTTAAATAATGATATAAATAGATACAATTAAAGGACCACTTTAGGCACCCAGACCACTTCAGCTTAATGAAGTGGACTGGGTGCCAGGTCCCTCTAGGATTAACCCATTTTTTTTATAAACATAACAGTTTCAGAGAAACTGCTATGTCTATAAATGAGTTAATCCATCCTCCAAATCCTCTAGCGACTGTCTCATTGACAGCCGCGAGAGGCGCTTGCGTGATTCTCACTGTGAAAATCACAGTGACAAGACGCCAGCGTCCATAGGAAAGCATTATGAATGCTTTCCTATGAGACCGTCTGAATGCGCACGAAACTCTTGCCGCGCGTGCACATTCAGCCGAATGGGAGGAGAGGAGGAGGAGAGCTCCCTGCCCGGCGCTGGAATAAAGGTAAGTTTTACCAATTTTCTCTCCCCAGAGCCGGGCGGGAGTGGGACCCTGAGGGTGGGGCACCCTCAGGGCACTATAGTGCCAGGAAAACGAGTATGTTTTCCTGGCACTATAGTGGTCATTTAAGCTTATATTTATTAGTATCTCCAACAAATGCAATACATACAAACACAGACTGCTGAATACATACACACAGTCTGCTAAATACACACACACACACAAGACTGCTGAATACAGAGACTGATGAATACACACACACAGACTGCTAAATACATACACAGACTGCTGAATACATACACACACAGTCCGCTGAACACACAGACTGCTGAGTACACGCACACACACAGACTGCTGAATACACACACACACACAGACTGCTGAATACACACACACACACAGACTGCTGAATACACGCACACAGACTGCTGAATACACGCACACACACAGACTGCTGAATACACGCACACACACAGACTGCTGAATACACGCACACACACAGACTGCTGAATACACACACATACTGCATTGAGGGGTGTAGTGTATGTGTTTGTGTGTGGGGTGCTGTGTGTGTGCTGTGTGTGAGGGGTGTTGTGTGTGTGAGGGGTGCTGTGTGTGCGAGGGGTGCTGTGTGTGCGTGTGTGTACGAGGGGTGCTGTGTGTGTGTGTGTACGAGGGGTGCTGTGTGTGTGTGTGTACGAGAGGTGCTGTGTGTGTGTGTGTGTACGAGAGGTGCTGTGTGTGTGTGTGTACGAGAGGTGCTGTGTGTGTGTGTGAGGGGTGGTGTGTGTGTGAGGGTGCGGTGTGTGTGTGAGGGTGAGGGGTGCTGTGTGAGGGTAAGGGTGCTGTGCTGTGGGGGGTAGGGGTGCTGTGTGTGTTGTGGGGTGCTGTGTGGGGGGGTAGGGGTGAGGAGGGATGCTGGGTGGAGGGGAGGGAAGCTGGGTGGGGGAGGGGAGGGGTGCTGTGTGGGGGGGGTAGGGTGCTGTGTGTGTGGGGCTGGAGGTGCTGTGTGTGTGGGGCTGGAGTAAAGGTGTTTTTAAAAAAAAAAGTATGCTAAATCAATATCCCTCCCTTCCTCCTCCTTACCTTTAATGAAGGAGGGGGGACACACAGCCATCCCTGGTGGTGGCAAGCACTGCTTCCGTGTCGGGAGGCAGGGGGAGGGATCTGTGAAGCAGCTCCCCTGTCCTCCCGCGCGATGCTCCACACAGCTTGCTCGCAGGAGGACAGGGGAGCTGCTTCACAGATCCCTCCCCCTGCCTCACGACACGGAAGCAGAGTAGGCAGTTTTGGGCAGGCAGGTGCCTACTCTGCATTGATGGTGAACCTATGGCCACGTGCCCACAAAAAGTGTGCCATAGGTTCGCCATCACTGATCTATACACTAAAACTGCTCATACTCATAAAGCTAAAGTTGTATTATTATTGGTATTTAAATAGTGCCAATTTATTCTGCAGCACTTTACGATGTTATAAATGGGGAAATTTAACAATATATGAGACAATTACAAAATGTTACAGGAAGAATAGGTTGATGAGGACCCTGCTCAAAAGTGCTTCCGGTATTGATACCTATAGTATCCCTTTAAGCTCTGTTTTAAATCTGTACACCATAATGTTGCAATTCCAATAATAATGGAACATTTGAATGATTTAAAAAATAAAAAATAAAAATGTAAAACAATAGATGCAGATGCTGCTTGTAATTCAATGCAAACAGATGCACTTACCAGACTCTTCGCTATTAGCGTTCCTGTGTTTCTTCTGGATTTCAGGTAAAGTTTGGAAGGGTCTGCCCCCTACCGGTTCATCTCCTTGTATAGCGGTCAGGTCATGCATACTATAACTGCGTAAACGCTCTGTAATAGCTCCCTGGCCCTGGGCAAAGACAAAATACAACATCAGGGAAAGAAAACAAGTGTATTTTTTTTTGTGTGTGTGTGTGTGTGTGTGTGTGCTCTCACACGCATTTGCCATAGATGTTTCTTTTCTTACTACATCACCATATTCATTGGAGCCAAATAATACATTGAAACAAAACTGTGCAGAACATTCAAATGTTTCCAATACACATGCATTAGGCTGAGTGTTTATATAAACATTTTTTTCTTTTTCTTTACTGCAGTTTATTCTTGGCACTTGGAAATAAACAGCATTGTAAACCAGTTGTGGTGGGTGCGGTTACATTTCCAAAACTGAATTCAGGACAGACATTTAGAATTGTGTGCAGTTAACAAAGTATAGTCATACACATAGGGCGCCCTTGATTCAGTTATTCATTTCACAACTAATTTTCTTGGCTGCATTTTGGACTAAAGAGTAGTGTAGAACATTCCAATCTAATCATCAATCTTCAGGAAAATACGTAGACAACAATCTTGATGGAGCGGCCAAAACAAAATTACATTTGCTATAACGGAGTCCAACACAACATCTGCAAGATTACCCGTGTACAAAAAAAAAAATCAAGTAAATATAAAAAAATGGAACATTGAATGTCGCTAGATATTTTATTTTACAAAAGGAGTCAAGAGAAAAAAATCTGACATTTCCCTTTGTCACCAGAAATATCTGCAAATCATACAATAGCATGAATAGATTTTCCATCTTTTCAAATTGCTCTAGATGGAGACTGTTTTTTTATCCCCACTTTTTGTGGCACAGTTGGCAATTGCTTCAAATTAGGTATTATGTCTTCTTTTGAATTAACACCACAAAAAGAAAGGTTGAAACTGATGGATTTGAGTTACCTCAAAGTGTGCCACAAACAAGAGGTATGTATATTTTAAGAAGTCTCAGCATTAAATTGAGTTTCCCGTGTGGCTAAGCAAATTTAGCTACAAGTATGAACTATGCAGATGCATATCTCAAGCTAAGACTGCAAGTGATGTAATGCTATAAGTTGTTAAGGATGGTAAAAATGCAAGTAAATTTTGGAAAAAATTGGGAAGCAGTGGCCTAGATTTCTATGTAATTGATTCCATTTGTGTAGCTGTATCACTCGTCTTGCATCAACGCGTTTCGCCTCTGATACACTGCAACTTTAAGAGGAGGAAAGATACACTGTACCTTTAAGAGTTAGAACGAGATTATGCCAGGGAGAGCATGTAAATTCTTGAAAAAGCCCAGAGTGAAGGAGCGAAACGCGTTGATGTAAGAAGAGCAGCAGCTTCAGATACAGCGTCCCAGATTTCATGCAGTGGTGTACAGATTCAGCGTTCCATTAAACACCGGTCCGTGAGGAGACTGATCATACCGATCGGATCGGCAGAGTGGTAACACAAAGCCTGAAAAACTGTTATGCTGCTTTGAGCTATCAAATACAGTGGAACCTCGGAACTCAAACTTAATCCGTTCCAGAAGGCTGTTCGAGAACCGAATCAACATTTCCCATAGGAATTATTGTAAAATTGATTAATCCGTTACAGCCCCCCAAAATTACAGCATTTTACGTGGGCAGATATGGAATACAGCATTCAACAGTGTTGCAGTTCCAATGCAAGATATAAAAGTAATAAATTATTATTTTAGCAATGTATGTTATGAAGTCATAAAACCACAGATATACTCTTCTTTAAGTTTTTTACGGATACCCACATTTTTAGATTTACTTTACATATTGCTGTTTATAATTGTCCCCTGGTAACTCCCTACCGTACTCCAGACCTGTGACACTATTAGTGGTCTATTAGTAGTACAAAAAGAGATGGGTCTTGCAAATGCACTCTTTTCTGACTTAAAAATGAGACATGGCTCTTTGTTGTATGTTTGGGTACCAAAGATCGTTCACGTACAGAGACACTTTTTGCTCTAAATTTTTGTATGACTTCCAAATTGTTCAAGAATGGGACCGTTCCAGTTCCAAGGTTCCACTGTACATGCTTTTTTTGTGACTGTTGTAGACATAAGTCACATTGATACTGTGTAAGGGTCCCGTTAAGGGGAATACGGTTGTGGGAAAATAAGATTACTGTATTACACTATATCTTTCTCTGTTCTCTTTAAGGTAAACTGGATATAAAAGATACATTGTTTTCATTCTGAAACAGTGTTGCCTGGATTTTTGAAACTTGGTCTTACTACTACTGTCATGCCAAAAGCATGAGTTGGTGTTTGATGTGTGTTGAGATATGTTGAAAGTTGTTTTTTTGTAAACCTTGGGATGACGTTTATTGTGGTCTTTGATCTAGCACCAGGCTTAGACCATAAAACATCTAGATAGCCATCACCAGAGCTGGACACAAGGAATTGCATAGAGTGGGCAATAAACTGCCAGACCAACCCCCTCTGATCCCCCCCCTCCACCCCCCAGGGGTCTGCCCACTGAGCAACAACTAGTTCAGATATATTAATGAGGGTTTTGGACTATCGAGGGAGTTATTCATTTTTCTTTTGTCAGTAACTTCTAGGAGACCTATACCATCTAAGACTCCCACAAGAATTCTATATGGGGTAAATATATGTAAGGAATTTCTTGTGTTTTCTCCTATTTTATTTTATGTACTGTTTTGCAATTTGTTATCTGTATGTCATTTATTTCTGTATTTTGTACTCAGCACTGTGAATCCTTTTTGTCAGATTAAATGTTTACTTAATCAGCTTGTGTCTCTGTTCTCTATGAGCTTCACTCTCCAGAGGAAAGCTCAGGTAAACACGTTACCAAAAAGGGTTAACTATATATGTTTTATCAGTACAAGTAGAACTGTGATACTATAATTCTCCTGTGTGTGGGGTAACCTAAGACGCCCGGGTTTAAAAGTCTTGCTGGTGGCAGTAAAGTGTGTACTAGGGGGTTAGTGTAGAAGGGATTGCAGGGGTTAACTGAGTGGTTGCTGGGACTAGCAACAGGTAACCAGGGGTCTGGTGTCATTAACCCTGTCACTTCCACACTCTCCCCACTGTCTCGGCTGGGCCCATAGCCCACACATGTGACAAACTGGCGGCAGCTGGTGGGATATATTTAGAGATTTTTAGTGCTTGCTAGATTTTACCTGTAAAGGGGGTCTTAGCACTAAAAGAAATTGCATACTTGTTTTTGTGTAATTTCCAAAGACCAAGCTCAGTGCTGATTTAAAATACATACAAAGTGCAAAACAGTTATTCCCTCCCCATCTTTTGTTTTAATTTCTCTATCCTATTGTGAATATGGAGGCCTATCACAAACAATCGAAAGAGGCCTTGGAATTGTTGTGCCAAGAAAAGGATTTGCCAACTTTTGGCAAAAATAAAGCACAACTTATTGCAGACCTTGTGGAGGCTGACAACCATGTTTTCCAGCCAGAGACGGACACTGAAAGGGTTACTGAGCTCCCTACTACTGCAGGAGTGTTGCTCACTGGAATGCCTGGTGGTTGTACCCCTCAAACCATTGACATTTGCTCAACTGATTAATTTTGGCAACTGATGGCTGCAAATCCTCAGGAGGCCATGCAAGTGATGATCTAACAGCAGGCTGCAGAAAGGGAATCTGCAGAGAGGCTGTCCGAAAGGGATGCGCAAAGGAGACATGAGCTGGAACTTGCTAAACTGCAATTTACCCTTCAGTCCTCACTGAACAGCAATGCATCAGAGTCCAGCACACGTAGGCTCCGTAAGGATGATTTTCCTTCCCTCGAAGAAGGGACGGATTTGGATGTATTTTTAAAAGGTTTTGAGAAAGTATGCCGGCAGCATCAACTACCCTCAGACCAGTGGGGCAGATATTTAACTCCACAATTGAAAGGGAAAGCCTTAGATGTGTTTGTGTCCCTTCCCCCAGAGACTGATAACAACTATGAGGCAATCAAATCTGCATTGCAAAAAACTTTTAACCTTACTCCTGAGTCTTACAGGAAAAAGTTTAGGAGTTTGCAGCAATGCCCATCATCCAGCTGCATTCTATATGTTCCACAATTAGAAACCATGTTCCGGCAATGGGTAACAGGAGTACAAGCTACCACCTATGAAGCCCTTAATGACTTAATGGTCCTGGAGCAGTTCTTGCAGACCCGGAGCCCTAATGTACGAGAGTGGATTTTGGAAAGAAAGCCAAAAAATGCTAGAGCTGCTGCAGAACTGGCAGATGACTATGCCGACATCCATGCACCCACATCCAGGTGTGGACTTGTGTCAGCTGCTACTTTGACCTGGAGAGAAGCTACAGTTCAATCACCACCTGTAAGATCTGCAGTGAGAACTTCACCGCCGACTGCCAGCGTAGCCGGGGCTATGTCAAGTGAGTCAGATGCCCGCCGTTGTTTTCGATGCAA